CATTTGGCCACTTTCTAAATGGCATTGTGTATTCAAAATACAAAATACAGAATACAAAACATCGTGAACATAATTTTATGAAAGTTGGAATGTTGCATTTTGCGATTGATGGACACAAGACTATTATTATTTTGCTCAATTGTAATTTAAAAATATACACCCATCGGTCGCTAGATTTAAAGAAATACTAAAGTTTTTAACTAATACTATTATCAGTACCATACCGTGTGTCCGTGGGCAGCGAAGTCTTTGCCAAAGTCGTTTCGGCTTCCACCTCCAAGAGCGTTGATGTGACCCAGACCATGCCAGTACAAGTTGGCTCTGCAAGGATGTGGAACCCGCTCTCCATTTGGAAGGCGCTTCCGGTATTCGCCATACCCTGACACACCGCACGTCCCGAGAAGCAGCAGTAGAATTGTCAGCGTCCTGGCAATAGCATGAAAATATTTTGGTTTCGGTAGATTTAAATCGTTGCCAAGCCTACATGTACTGATGCTGTGGAAAAGTAACATGTTTTTTGGTTTGAAAAAAGGTTGGACTGTTGATTTAGGGATTATTACATCTATAGCATAAATCCGCATAAATACATTTGGTTGGGCGTTAATTTGGATTTGATGTTGAGTAGCTGTGGACAGTATTTAAGTCACGGGACCCGTGAAGATCCGGGTTAGAATAGGTCTTCAGCAACCCATGCTTGCCGTAACAGGCGACGATGCTTGTCGTAAGAGGCGACTAAGGAGTCGGGTGGTCAGACTCACTGACTTTGTTGATGGCGTCATCGTTCCCATTTGCGTAGATCGATGCTCATGATATCAATCACTTGATTGTCTGGTCCGGGCTCAATTATTTACAGACCGCCGTCATATAGCCGGAATATTGCTGATTGGGTGAGGTCATTTGGGTATACCTGAGACAGTTGAGTAAGTACGTGAGTAAAGAATTTAAGAGGCTAGCGGGGAATACGCGAGGACAGCGAGTGAGGTATACGTGAGAACAGTGAGTTGGGAATATGAGAGGACAGCGAGTTGGGAATATGAGAGGACAGCGAGTGAGGTATATGAGGGGACATTGAGTGAGGTCAGTGAATGAGGAATATGAGGGGTCAGTGAGTGAGGAATATGAGAGGACAGCGGGTGAGGTATATGAGGGGACATTGAGTGAGGTCAGTGAGTGAGGCATATATGATAGGTCAGTGAGTGACGTATATATGAGAGGTCAGTGAGTGAGGTATATGAGAGGTCAGTGAGTGAGGCATATATGAGAGGTCATTGAGTGAGGCATATATGAGAGGTCAGTGAGTGAGGTATATACGAGAGGTCAGTGAGTGAGGCATATATGATAGGTCATTGAGTGAGGCATATATGATAGGTCAGTGAGTGAGGCATATATGATAGGTCAGTGAGTGAGGTCAGTGAGTGAGGCAAATATAAGAGGTAAGTGAGTAAAATATATGAGAGGTCAGTGAGTGAGGTATATGAGAGGTCAGTGAGTGAGGCATATATGAGAGGTCAGTGAGTGAGGCATTTATGAGAGGTCAGTGAGTGAGGCATATATGATAGGTCAGTGAGTGAGGTATATACGAGAGGTCAGTGAGAGAGGTATATGAGAGGTCAGTGAGTGAGGTATATACGAGAGGTCAGTGAGAGAGGTATATGAGAGGTCAGTGAGTGAGGCATATATGAGAGGTCAGTGAGTGAGGTCAGTGAGTGAGGTCAGTGAGTGAGGCAAATATGAGAGGATAGCGCGTGAGTTATGTGTGTGTGTGATGGGGTGGGGTGGGGTGGGGTGGGGGGTGGGGGGGGGGGGGACATTGAGTGAGGTCAGTGAGTGAGGCATATGAGAGGTCAGTGAGTGAGGTCAGTGAGTGAGGTATATGAGAGGTCAGTGAAGGAGGACATTAAGTAAGGAACACACTCTGTGAGTGGGGATACGTGATGTGACTATGTGATGGTGATTCATAAACATAAGCTCGTGACAAAGTAGGGATCGTTCAAGTGACTCTGCTTTTAGCAGATATTTCTTTTGAATAGGGATAGGGTTTTGTCGCTATCATTTCGAAAGCGTAGAATAGTGTGGGATATCAAATGACCATGTACTGTGTTTAATGTTTACATTTAAAGACTAATGTGTGTTGCTGTAAAAATATTACCGTTGTTCGAGTTGTATATAGATTATAGCATGACAAGTAAATGTGTGTGATCATTATTAGGTTTACAGTAAACTACGTTTATAACAACCACGCTTATTACGAACTGACCGATATAGCGAATTTAATTTTAGTCCAAGCCGTTTGTTGTAAATATACTGTATATATGCTTATAACAAACTACGGTTATTACGTACTAAAATTAGTGGTCCATTTGTGTTCGTTATAACCGTAGTTTACTGTATGTTTATAACGAACACGCTTATTACGAACTGACCGATACAACGAACCTATTTTTTAGTACTGCTCATTTGTTGTACATATATATATACTGCATATATGCTTATAACGAACTACGGTTATTACGAACTAAAATTAGTAGTCCCTTCGAGTTCGATATAACCGTAGTATGTTAACCGTTTAGTAAAAGGTGGTTAAAAGGTGGATGATGAGTGAATTGAAAGCCCATTACATCCATGACAACACTTTCGTCATTTGTCATCAATGTGAAAGCAATGTTCCTCGAGTGAGTGAGTAAGTTTTCTATCCGGAGTTAACAATGTCTGTTAGTAGCAGCTAGAGTGGCTTCGCAAATAAGTCAAATTTTTCTTAAGCGTGACGATCAGTAACACGTTTATGATCGGAAAGTACTTGGGGTCATTAAATGAAACTATACCTAACAGTATTTTCTTAACTGACGGGGCGGTCGGGTAGCCTAGTGGTTAAAGCGTTCGCTCGTCACGCCGAAGACCCGGGTTCGATTCCCGACATGGGTACAATGTGTGAAGCCCATTTCTGGTGTCCCCCGCCGTTATATTGCTGGAAGATTGCTAAAAGCGGCGTAAAACCATACTCACTCACTCACAACTAACAACAATCAGAAAATGGATTAACTGCAACTAAATTGAACAGCTACCACACTATACTGATCCGCAAAAGAAACGTCACCATGGATAGATATATGAGAAACCTTATTTGTCCAAACACTGTAAACATACTTTGAGCCATATCAAAAAGATGAAACTTGGCAGAACTAATCATCAAGGTTGAAATGAAAGTGTCAAATGACCTTAAAGTGAAACACAACACTAGTCTCTGAGAAAATGGCATCATAAGTCAGTATCTCGTGTGTCCGCCATGTGCATTGATGACTACCGAGCAACGTCGATACATGGAATCGATGAGGCGGTTGATGAAGGCCAAAGGAACTTGAGCCCACACTCTGAGGAACGCCTGACGCAGTTGCTGGAGGAGGTCTCTTGTTGCTCTCGCAGTGTGGGCATGGGAGTTACCATGCTGAAACTCGTGGTTGCGGCGACATGCCAAATGAGATTTGGCGTGTTGTCTCAAGACTTGATCAATGTACCGAGCTGCTGTGACACCATTGCCTCTCCCTGGACCGATGTTCTGGAAGACCACAGGACAGACCCTCTGTGCAAGACCAATTCCACCCTACACCATGATGCTCGGACCACCCCACGAGTCTCTCTCAACAACACAAGCATCTGAATAACGTTACCCACGGCGTCGCTAGACTCTGTCTGACATCTGCAGTTGAGATACAGTAACGGTTCTCGTCTGAGAAGAGGACTCTTCTCCACTGCTGGTGGCGCCAATGCTGGTGCTGTGTTGCCCACTGAAGATTGTCTCGGCGATGACGTGATTTCAGAATTGGTCCTCGGTGTGGCCTGTGACAGTGGAGGTGTCTGCTCGTCAATCGTCGACGCACGGTGTCCGCACTAATGTGTCGCTGGTGTGTCTCAATGGTCTGTCGAGCAGTTTCCGCATCAGTAACAAAACGATCTTGAAGATGCTGTCGCACAATCTTACGAACCTGATGTCCTGGTGGTGACACTTTGTCTTCCACTGCGTGGTCGGTCACCTGTAGTGTTGGTGATCTGGTCCTTACGCTACTCCACCGCCAAGTTCTGACTTAATGTGGTAGAAACCTATTTTGACGCATGTGGTGGACGTTTACCGCTGAAGAAAAGGTAGAAGGATACGAGGTATGGTGCTGATAAAGTATCAGGGTACATCTGGGATTCGAACTCATTACTTGGAGGTCTTAAGGAACGCAACTGTTCACACATAAGGCGCCGCCTGTCCGGTTGTGGCGGTGTCGAGTTTGACTTAGTACATACTGCCACAGAACTACACTACCTGAACATAAGTGAGTGAGTGAGTTGTGTTTAACGCCCTTTTTAACAGTATTCCGTGTTGGGTTAATGTGGGAGGAAAGCACGAATTGATGTAGGTCTCAGACGTTTACCACATCGGTGAAACCAACGAGCACGGGTATGGTGCTGACAAATCTGGAAACTTAATCGGGGTGAACAGGGATTCGAACCCACAATCATAGGTTTCTCTGGCGTGCCGTGGTATTATCGAATTGCGGTGCCTTAGATGACTCCCCGCCTACTCCCCCCCCCCCCCCCCCCCCCCCCCACACACACACACACACACACACGACATAAGAGCTTCGCCAGGGCTGTAACCTTTTATTCACGAGCGAGGCTTAACCCTGTCAATGGGTAGAGATTGACGCTACAAGCACAAGCGTGGTAAGGGGGGCCCTTTACCTTAGTGGTATAGATCAATAGCAAATATTAAACTAGTTCAGTGCTGTATACGGGCTACCCGTTCAGCGTGATATGCGTAAAATAGTTGCTCCAGTGTGTTTGTGAACAACCAACAGATTCATTGACAGACGCTTAGGTGATGTTTGCAAAAGGTGTATGGTCCAGTGACACAGTCTGTAGTACAAACACTTGACCCGTGTGGATTCCGAATTATAAGAAGTCACTAAATACTGGTACCAGTTATTAAAATCGATGTAATGGATCGGGTTGTCTTGCTTGGTGACTCGGGACTCGGAGTCCACTCGGGGAAAGTTTGTTTCTTTGTTTGGGTATTTTGACGGCGAACTCAGCAATACTACAGCTATATGGCGAAGGTCTGTAAATAATCGACTCTGAACCAGACGGTCCAGTAATTGATATCATGATCATCGATCCACGCAATTGGGATACGATGATATGCATCTACCAAGTCATTGAATCTGACCACCCTATCCCGTTAGTCGCCTCTAACGACAAGCATAGTCACCTTTTATGGCAAGCATCGGTTGCCGATGACATAGATGTAATATTGCTGATTGCGGCACAATCCAACAAACAAACATGAACTAAGGAGCAAATTTAGGAAACTATACCCCTCAGTTGATTTTAATCATATGTTTGATTTTCAATTGAAAATATCTGAAGTTGGGATATTATATTCGGGAAATTGAACTGTACAGGCGCTTAGTCAGCAGGAAAAGAATACTTCTACGTGGTATTATTGTTGAAGATATAATATCGCTTAAATTTTTTTTAAAAAATGGCATAATACACAACCACTGACGGGTGTGTCAACATCTTTGAAAATCAAAACATTTCAAACATGGTAAGGGGTCATGTGATTGCCAATTTCTTTCTTTCCCCAGTCTTCATTGAACCAATATATTTTTACACGCAATTACCCAACCACATCTCTTCTTACAAACTGTTGCCAAAATGAGTGACTGTTAAATGGACATGATCAAATTTAACAACATTTCTTTCAAATTTCAATTACATAAACATTTTTATATAACCCCGCAGTTTTATAAGGTTACTTTAAAAAAACCTGTGAATACATACGAAAACCAACGAACAACGCAATTAATGATAATTTATTTATGACGTTGACTATGGTATTTGTTCAGTCAAATGACGGTGTCCGAGTAACGCTCGAAAAGCCAACTGTTTGTAAAGTACACTGTATACACAAGTGTATAGAAGATGTCCAAAACAGAAATACATATAAGCACGCACTGAATCACCCTTGGACAAACACGACAGACAGTGACCGACCATTCAATATTCTGGGGTAGGGTGGATGTGGGTGATTGTGGGTGGCACGGAATATTCAGTTTCAAAACATGCTACTTGTTCCGAGAGGAGGAACTGAACATATTTTGCTTGAAAACTGTTCACGTACAAGTAGCTGTATTCGGCATACCTACGATACAAATGTTTTAAAATTATAAGGGTTCCGTTTGGGTCACGTTATCAACAAAATATTAGAAACGAGCAACACGTCTAGGAAATAGTCACATGTGTTCATATAAGTGACACTCATTTTCAACATTTACATTATTTAACATATAACAACTCTGAATGTTAATAATGACTCGAGGTGGTCGAAAAGGGTTTTCAGCAAGTTCTCTTGAATTATTTGAACATGATCAAGTCTTCAACCAAAGTTATTTTAATTATAGACTTAGTATAATGTGATGTCAAGTAAATTAAATAACATTCAGCATCAGTCACGGTCTGGCGCCTTGTTTGTGTTCTCTTGAAATTATGGAAATTAGTCTTTTTTAGGCTAATCTTCTCTCTCTCGTCTAATACTAGTATATTGAAAAGTATGTATAACTTGTCATAATTCATCACATTTTGAAAAACGATGCAAATTAAGTTTATGATACGTCCAAAGGTTTTCTTCCGGTGTTGTAAAATTAGTAAAATATATTGCATATTGTTCGTTTATTGTTTAGCGCCGCACTCGGCAGTATTCCAGCTATATGACGGAGGTCTTTAAATAATGGACTGGACCAGACAATCATGAGCATCAGTATACGCAATTTGGATACGATGACATGCATCATCAACCAAGTCAGCGAGTCTGATCATCCGATCCCGTTTGTCGCCTCTTACGACAGGCATAGTCGCCTTTTACGGGCATGGGTTGCTGAAGACCTATTAATACATTGCAACCGCAAGGACATATGACGATGCGGTTGTATACGCTTCTATATTTATTTTGTGTAAAATGCTCAAATTCAACAGAATATAGTTTCACTTACCCGATCATGACTGTCCTAGTGCAACGAATGCCTTGTATTCAGTGCGCCTGTACCCCTTATATACACAAGCCAGGTTTAAGGTAAATACAACATTGTGACATACCTACACACACACACACCCTGAAACAGACACTTACATAAACTGGTATATCACGTGGGGATTGTTTGTGCAGATTTGTGTCCCTTTGACGTGGCAGAAACCTATGATCCTAGGTTCGAATACCGGTTAGTGCTGAATGTGTTTCTATATTTGTCAGCACCACACCCTTGCTCGTGGGTTTCAACAAAATGATAAATGTTCAAGGAGATGATCCCACAATAGATCGCCTCTGTGGTCTAGTTGTAGAGCGTCCGCCCGGAGAGTGGATGGTCCGGGATTCGATCCCCGGCCACGTCATACCTGAAGATGTGGTACTTGTTGTTACCCTGCCTAGCGCTCGTATTAAGGGGTTAAAACAACGACTGGTAGGCTCGGAGTCAGTATACCGTGTCTGAGTGGGGTAGTCATGTTAAACTTCGGCATGGAATCTCAGTGGGCTTGCACTAAACAAATCGTACATCAAGACACACACACACACACATACACACACACACACACACACACACACACACACACACACACACACACACAGCATGCCCTTCGCTTTCTGAATGTAATAATCTTAAACGAGACATTCAACCCCATTTCATCGCACCTATTCCAATACCAAGATGACACCCCGTGATACATGCTTCAACTGAAAGAAACGTTAAACCCGACTAACTCACTCTCTCACTCATGCGCTGGTCAATTCGAGGGCGTCATTGCTCAATATGACGAAAATCCCAGATAAAGGGTAGACATTCCAATTTATTTTGTCCCGTGTTTCAAGATTCAAGAACTATATTGCCATGGGTAGGATTTATGACATGCTAAGTATCTTTGCTGTCGTAAACATCACGTTAGATTCAAATGTGTGTTGATCTTCACTCCCATATTCAGTGTGTGTGAAAACGATCAAACTCAACAGAACAAAGTTTTACTTACCCCATGACGGCTGTGCTAGTCAAACGAATGACATACATTCAACGTGTACCCCTATATATGCTCAAGCTAGGTTGTGAAATACGTGTACAGAATTGTGAATAGGTGACACATTTCGGTAGGCACATAGCTCTCAAAGCCGATTCCTATTCATGCCTGTCCTTATAACATATTGGTTCATGTACCTGAAGCGGGGGTCGTACTCTTGCGTACTGGGGAGCAAAGGTGTCCCACTTGATCAAGGCGGCTCAATTAAGGCCCCTTTACACAGGACTGTGACCTTTCTGCCACCTTTGAACGATCAAAAACTGGCCAGGACGCTCAGTAGTCGCCTGAACCCAGAAAATCATGTTTCTATGTAACTGCTCCTTGAAATCAGTTGTTCGGCAGTAACTGCTTGAGTTGTTCAGCGTCTGCAACCACAGTGAAACACTGCAGGTAAAAGCCCTCTATGTATAGGCAGGCTGAGGAGGCACTACATGTAGCTCAAAGGAGGCAGAAAAGAGGCAGAAGCATTGCCATTGTGTCTCAAGGGTTGCCGTAGTCGCCGATGGAGGCACGGCGGTCGCCACAGCCATCGTTCAATGCACGTTGTTGGTCGCCCAAAGGAGGCACAAGGGAGGCAGAAGCATCGCCATTATAGACGGGAAAATATTTCAGCAGAACGCATTTATTACCAGGCGACCATTGGGCGAACGCTGTGCCTTTATTCTGCGGGTACCTCCCTTCTGCCTCCTTTGATCCACCTTTGAGCAACCAGCCTCCTCGGCGACCTTTGTGCGACTGTTTTGAACATGTTCAACACTTCACGGCGATCATGGCGTCCATGGCGATGTCTGATCCTCCTGTGTACCATCTTGGGACGACCTAGGCAACCATTCTGCCTCCTTTGAGCCTCCAACGACGACCTGGCAAATTTTATGGTCGCACACGGGAGGCACAAAGGTCGCCATCCTGTGTAAAAGGCCCCATAAGACAGACATCTATGTTCGCGGGTTCGAATCACGATTCGCCCTGGTTATGTTTCTATGCTTGTCAGCACCATACCTGTGCTGGGTATCACTTCTGGCATTCCTCCCACAACAAGCTGACAAGCGGTGAAATACTTTTCAAACATACTAGACAATCATCTCATTTTGTGACAAAGGAAATCACAGATAAACACTACTAGGGATTGGAGACGTTTTCCGAGTTCAAGACATCCCAAAGTTATGGTAGGAATACTAGTCCTCGAACTGAGAACCGTGATCTAAACAAAACGCGAGAGATCAATACCGATTCTTATTATCTCTGATGTTTTATGCTGCAAAATCAGTCAGAGACACTTCCATTGAGATTGACCGCCTCCGTGGTCTAGTGGTAGAGCGTCCGCCGGGAGAGCGGAAGGTCCGGGGTTCGATCCCCGGCCGCGTCATACCAAAAGACGTTAAAAGATGGTACTTGTTGTTACCCTGTCTGGCGCTCGGCATTAAAGGGCTAAAACAAGGACTGGTCGGCTCGGAGTCAGTATACCGTGTCTGAGTGGGGTATTCATGTTAAACTGCGGCATGGTATCTCAGTGTGCTAGCACTATAAATCGGCATCAGTCCGGACTAGTACAAGCAGCCACACACACACACGTGCATGCACGTCGCTATATAAGTGCAATAATCTTGGACGCGACGTTAAACCCAACTTCACCTCACTTAATAACACGCGTTCCAGCTATTGAAGGGTGTTCACCAGGTTTGAACGTTGTCACCCAAGATGATCCCAGAGATGTTTTTTGCAAACACCTGGAGTCATCGCTGATTTTCAGTGGTCTATTTATAGAAGTTCCACAGCTGTTTCGGCAGAAATTTAGTGAGTGAGTTGGGTTTAAGGCCGCTTTTAACAGTATTCCAGTTATATCGCGGCGTGTCTGCTTAATGTGGGAGGAAAGCCCGAAGTGATGCAGGTCTTAGACGTTTACCACTTCGGTGAAACCCATGAGCACGGGTATGGTGCTGACAAACCTGGAAACATAATTGGGGCGAACCGGGATTCGAACCCACAATCATAGGTTTCTGGCGTGCCCAAGGGACGCAACCCTGCACAGCGAATCGCGGCGCCTTAGACGACTGGGCCACCCGTGCCCCCCAGAAATTTAGGCTGCTTGTGCTCTTACAATTTTATTTCTGAGGTAAGATGTCGGGTGAGCGTGACAGACACGGCACACTTAATCCAGCAGTGTAATGCCTGGCATTGTCTCGTTGGAACAGTATCCCTTGTGGCTATTTACCGAGAAAGGGAAGGACAACTGACTGCAGATTCACATCCAAGGATTTCTATGGATGGTGACAATACATGTTAAGATATGCTTGAAATGTTACCATTTTCGTCAATACCTTGTGTCATCACTGATTTTCCGGGATCCATCCATTCATAAAACGTTCACTATTTTGCCTCTTACGCCCAATGGAATATTTTTTAGCAGTAATAAAAACTCCAATGACATGCATCAACCAAGTTAGCGAGCCTGACCACCCGATCCCGTTAGTCGCCTCTTACGACAAGCATAGTCGCTTGTTACAGCAAGCATGGATTGCAAAAGACCTATTCTTTCCCGGGTCTTCACGGGTCTGACCGTCTTTGACACATTTTGTTTACGACAAAGTATGTGTGTACCCCAGTAACAAACAAATTTACTTTCTAATTACTACTCGCGCGAGGGTTACCTACTTTTCAGATTTCGCGCTGGGGGTCACATACGTCATCACCCCTTTGTTTCCCTATCCAGCTGTTGAGCGGGCTTTCGCAACCCCGTATACCTTACAAGTAAGTTTGCTTTTCACCGTAGCTCATCGCTACCCCAAGGAAAACCCCTCTCTCTAGATCTGTTCTGCTGATAACCTTGACATGATGCTCATCTGTTTTGGGGGGCGGTCGGGTAGCCTAGAGGTTAAAGCGTTAGCTCGTCATGGCGAAGACCCGGGTTCGATTCCCGACATGGGTACAATGCATTTCTGGTGTCCCCCGCCGTGATATTGCTGGAATATTACTAAAAGCGGCGTAAAACCATACTCACTCACTCATCTGTTTTTAAGAGCTATGATGTTTCGGGATCCAACAACTTGCTTTTTGTACCCTTCATGCATTTTCATCTTGTTCTGTGACCATAAATTTGTTTAATACAAAATCGTTTTGTTCAAAATTCGAGGAAAAAATACACGAGTGTGTTTTCAAACTGAAGTCCTTTAGCCAAGGTAATACAACTATCCAGCATCAAACAAAGTACACTTTGTATACAAAGTAGATTTGAAAGAGGAACTATCAAGCGCTTGCTGAGTCCTTCATTAAAGTGTGCATAAGTAGTGCATAATATATACGGGAGATAAAAAAAATCACGAAATATGAGTCATGTGAGCTAAAATTCTTTATTTCCAGTGCATAAAAGAATTAGTTTATAATCTCAACAATGTGTATCTCTATTCACACAAATTAATAACCAATTAATTCGGACAGTGTCTCAATTCTTTGAAGTACCCCATAATACCAAGCCCACCCCATAATCTCTAATGGTCCGTCCGACATGGACGTTCCATAACTGTAATTGTCCGAAATGTAGGACTACTGGAGAAATGAGTCAGTGATAGATAATTTCATAAGTATATGCTATTAAATACATGCTAACTATTTGAGAAAACATATTTAAAACAAAAGCTTTTGTAGGATTAATACGACAGCACGTGTTTTGAATCTATGCCATGAGCATTGCCAACATGATCAACAGCAAGGAAACCATACTGGTTCCTGCGGCACCGGAAGTGGGAAAGCCAAAGTCATTCTTGTTCACATCGCACATTCTCAGCTTGCCGAGGAACTCCAGTCCGGGTTTAGATCTAATCGTGAGACGTCTGACAAAGCCTGTGACATCTCCTCCACGCATGCATGGATGTTGCATGTAGTCCATGACCGCCATCTTGCATTCAGGTGTGCACATGTTGGAAGCGAGTTTGCAGTTGGTGTCGACTCCTTTATAGAGTGCCTTAGACTGAGCATCGGCTTGAAATAGAAATCCCCAGACGTTGCAATTCCCCACGGTGATGCTCTCACTCCCACACATGTTGATGCTTTTCCACGACACGCAATTGCTCTTCTTCAGAGCGTGCTCGGGATAATACCACAGGAACCCATAGCACATTTCATCAGATGTTGCATCGCCATGGAATACCCATTTCTTCTTATATGTCGACTGGAATGTGCAGGTGGTCACTAAGCTATCTCCAGGAAGAATTTGAACAGGTTCGTCATATCTGTAGCGACAAAAAGTATGGGCGTTATAAAAATGAAGGCAATTCAGAGTATCACTAAATGATGATCGTTACATCAGAATTCGTTATATCCTAGATGGATATATTACTGAGAATAGTTTATTTTTGAACAGTATGTACTATCTTTATCGTTATCTAACCGGTGCCTTCATTAACAGAAACGATGGCAGATATCCGGGAACCATTAACAATCATAATAATTTTGTTAACACTGAGTTGGTGAAAAACCCTTTGAACAATACTCTAGTTTTGTCGTGGCTTGCGTGACGCAAGTCTCAGACGTTTGCCACTTTGGTGTAACACATAAGTATGGTACCGTGTTGACAAACCTAGAAACATTGTCTGGACGAAACCACTTTCATTCGATTGGATGATTGTGTCCAAAGGTACAAAGATCTGCACATAGGATTGCAGCGCTTTAGGCGACTACATGTAGTTCCAATTAACTAATAGATAGAGAACCTAGGAAACAGTGACGGTACTTACAGTGAACAAAATAAGATTCATTGTACAGGAAAATCATTTTTTACCTTAACACATACTTAAAAACAAAAGCAAACAAATAAGCTAAAAACCCAATGGTGTCTGTGAAATGTTATATCGTCAGCACATCGATTAGGTGTCTCACTCTGGCCGTGTGGGTTCGAATCCCGGACGGGACTCAGCCCCCCAAAAGTAATAGAATCTGTTCTTTACTAAAAAGCATTTGTTACAATTGACCACTTTCTAAATGGCATTGTGTGTTCATAGCTTTCGGCCATGGTAGTCTTGCCAATTTACACTTGTCAGAGGGAGAGTATATGATCTGGACTTCCAGTTGTGGGACTTTCATTTTTGTGGAAGCCTCGATGGCTGAGTGGGATAGATCGCTGTGTGATGGCAATTAGGTGTCTCACCCTGGCAGTTTGTGTTCGAATCCCGGACGAGACTCAACCCAACAAAAGAGTACTAGAAAAGTACTGTACTTTACTGAGCACGTGTTATCAAACATATACAATTGACCAGTTTCTAAATGGCATTGTGTGTTAAACAATAGCTAGTTCGTCAATATCAATATCCGACATCGAACCAGTTGATGATCGTTTATTGGCAGGTGGGAATCTGTCGCAATTGTGACATGGTCAAAGGGTTGTTAGTTCTGAGCTGTTGAAAGTTCTGGCATTCATTGAAACCCAAACCATTTAGTCGCCTATCACAACCAATGCATTTGTTGCTGTGGACAATTCTCGGTCGGAATCTCCACATATTAAGTTCTTACTGAAAGTAGAGAGGGTTGTCATAGCTGTACTCTGGTTCATTGGTCAGATAGCGGAGCCTTTGTCCATTTCGGATATGCTCTACGAATCCTGCTTTGCCTGTAACGATAAACATATACATTGACTATCAATTGACTATTAACGCCAGTCTCCTAGTCATCACAGTTTCATACGTGTACGTGACCCACTAAACCTGCAACATATTAGCAATACGTAAAAATTTAAACGCCGCACTGGGCACTGGGCAATATTCAAGCTTTATAACCGCATTCTGTATATAATCGACAATCCTTTACCAGAGCTTTGTGTGCTGTTTAACGTCGCACTCAATAGTATTCGACTTATACTGAACAACAAAATTTCCTGTGACATTAAATAAAATTTAATGCAAAGTTATGTTTTTTTACCAAATCTGAAAACAATTTCGGTTGGCAACAGATAAAAGACTCCTGAAAGGGTTCAAATGGCTTAATTTGCCATACTGGCTTAAGAAAATGCGTGATTTCATAAAACAAAAAAAACAAAAAAAACATGAACATGCCAAAATGTCAATTTACAAATCAATAGCGTGTGTGTCCACCTCTGGTTGCGATGCAAGCAACACATCTTCGTCTCATGGAATGGACCAGTCGTCGCACAAAGTCTTCTGGGATAACTGTCCAAATCTTCTGGAGCATGTTTCGAAGTTCCTGGAGTGTTCGTCGAACTCGTGGTTGACGTCGAAGGCGCCGATCCATCTCCTCCCTCGATTGGTGAGAGATTAGGGGAGCGAGCCGGCCAGGGGATGATATTCACGTTGTTTTGTTGAAGAGAATCCTGAACATGTCGAGCAATATGAGGCCGGGCGTTAAAGATAATGCCTGGGCCATGACGACTCAAGACCGGTAGAACAACAGGGCTGATGATCTCGTCGCGGTAGCGCTGTCCATTGAGATTTCCCTCTACCACTATCAAACGGGTCCTCTGTCTTGCTGTAATCCGACCCCATACCATAACGCTGCCGCCCCCGAACCGATCTTCTTCCATGACACAATGATTGACGTAACGTTCACCTCAACGTCGGTACACTCGAATCCGTCCATCGCTGTAGCTGATGTGAAAACGAGATTCGTCAGTAAATAGAACTTTTCCCCACTGCATGGCCGTCCAATGTAGACGCTGTCTGCACCACTGTAGACGTGCTTGACGGTGGTTTCCTGTCAAAATGGGACGTCTGGCGGGTCTTCTGGCGACAATCCTTGCACATCTGAGGCGACGACGTACGGATTGTGAAGATAATCGTCGAAGGCTAGGGATGCTTCTTGCAGTCACGGTTGCTGGCTGGAATCGATTTCGTAGGTTTGTTGTTCGAATCCAGTTGTCTTGTCGATTATTGGTTACGCGTGGCCTGCCACTCAGAGGATGGTCTCTGACTGCATTCGTCTTGTTGCCAACGTTGCCATAAACACCAAATGGTGTTCCTGTGGATGTTAAATTGTCTTACAACATCACGTTGACTCGATCCTGCTTTAAGCATACCAATGACTCGCAGACGCTCATTTTCGGACAGACGTGGCATTACGTAATGTTGAATAATTGCGTAAATTTGATGTCTTTTACCTGAGTGGTTGTTGTCAGCACGATGCTAAACAATGCATATGGAATCCCGTTAACGCTCATGTTTTTATACCCATTCTTGCGTAGTGAAATGCCTGGGGCTTGCATAAAAGTCAACTTTTGCATGTTTTTTCTGTAGCAGTTGCGTTTTTGTGACTTGATTCCATACATGTACTACAATATTGAAAACCAAACTTTACATGTTTGAAAAATACACTAAAATATTGGTGTCACAGGAATTTTTCTTGTTGAGTATATATTCGAGCATCGACCTACGCTATTGGGATACAATCACAGGAATCAATAAAATGAGCGAGGTTGATTAGCACACCGATTTTGTTTCAGGTTTGTCACCATACCCGTACTCGTGTGAAAAAAACGACAACTGGAATATCGTTCTAAGCCCTACACACCCACCCCCTCACTCACTCAGTCAGTCACGATGTTTAAGAAACATGTCCTTTATCTTTCATGTTGCCAATGTCTTCGACCCGTGAAGATTCCGCCGTAGAATAGGTCTTCAGCACCCCATGCTTGCCGTAAAAGGTGACTGTGCTTATCATAAAAGGCGACTAACGGGATCGGGTCGTCAGACTCGCTGACCTGGTTCATGCATGTCATCGATCCCAATTGCGTGGATCAATGCTCATGATATTAATCACTGGATTGTCTGGTCCAGACTCGATTATTTACAGACCGCTGTCATATAGCTGGAATATTGCTGAGTGCGGCGTTAAACAACAAACCAAAACCAAAGCCAATGTCTTCAATACTTTAACGGTGAAAATTTCTTTTTTCCAGGATTGAACAATTTATGTCAAGATATTTAACCATCGTTTTTCACTGGATATAGATTGGCATGCTTGACACATGGACTTCATTCAAGTGCATTCGAGACATTTCAATAACAGTCTAGCCTATAGGTTATTGAATTAAATCAGAGATTGGTTTTATTTTTCCTTCCTAAGTGAGCTTGAAGGAAACGGTTTATTTGTTGCTTAACGCCACACACATTTAGGAAGGTTTGCAAAAGGTGTGTTTTATTCACATATTGTGGTACCTTTAAAGGGCATGGTAGAGTAGTGAGTGAGTGAGTGAGTGAGTATGGTTTTACCCCGCTTTTAGCAATATTCCAGCGATATCACGGCGGGGGACACCAGAAATGGGCTTCACACATTGTACCCATGTCGGGAATCGAACCCGGGTCTTAGGCGTGACGAGCGGACGCTTTAACCACTAGGCCACCCGACCGCCCCCCATGATAGAGTAAAACCACCTTCGAAGGTACTTGAACTGTTTGACACAGCGAATCGCATCCACTCTGGCTTCAATTAAAGGGAGGAAAATAACGAAACCATATGAACCACAAGTGTGATAGACATTACTTACCCAAATAATGCATATGGTTCAAGGCTGTTGGGACATAGATGGGCTCTGTCATCAACCTTTGGGTGCAGTCAGAAGTGCATTCCCCTCTGAAAGTGAGCTCCGGTCGTCCAGGGGGTATTGCTAGATGCCACTGTCCGAGCGACATGATAGAGCCATTATTCGGTCTCAGTTTGGGAGTGTAAAAGAAGGTCATTCCTGAACTATCCTTCCACCCACTCACCTCGTTCGGGTTGTTCCAGTGAAACTGAAAAAGCAGAATGGAAATGAAATTAACAGTGGAAGAGAAAGTTGTTGTCAGGCGTGATTGGTTGGCATGGCTCTGTGCATTCAGAGTGAAACTCTTTAATCTGGACAGAGATGAATGAACAGTTTTCCGGATCAATGGAATGTGAGAATGGTCTATCCCACAGCATGTACATGTATGTAAAGGTTCCAAGCCGTGAGAATCTGATTCGTGGATTTACACTGCTGTATGATTCAAGATACACACCATAATCCCGTCGAGGGGTTCCACTTTAGAATAGGTTACCAGGAGAATTACTAATTTGTCTGATCCTGATCCAGACTGGTCCAGAATATTTGCAGCGCTTAAAAGTAACAAAATATACGAAAGAAATACTGGTCACTTGTACCTCCAGGGCAAACCGGGTGAATTTTGATTTTCCAAATGATAGCCCAAACTTGTCGTTGAGACATTCTCCAGGAGACCCAACTGTCCATGCTCCCAATGCATCCGTGCATCCTCTCCCTGCATTCATGCCGCATTTGTATGGTGCGTTTGGAAGTGCCTCTGCAAAACAGAAATATGCATATCAATGTATACACTACACACCGTTTGAAAGAGATTTGTTTGCTTGCTTGTTGTTTAACATCACACTCAGGATCGGTGATTCATATCATAAGCAGCGCCCCACGCCGTTAGGGAATGATGACACTGTAGTCTGTCAACCACGTCAACGAACCTAACACGCATTAATGCGGCTCTTACGACCATTATCCTCACCCGGAATCGCCACATATTGCAAAGGGAAATCGTACAAAAGAAAATTTTCTATCTTATGTTTTTTTAAGTTTAACGCTGCAGTGAAACCGTCAACAAATTGTTGTCAACTTAAGGAAGGCTGTTTCAACGCACCTGTAGTGTCTGAGCAACCATAGACTACGACGTGATGCATGATGTTGTCGTTGTTGATGAGAGGCTTGCTTGCAATGTAGTGGTAGTCGCGGTCAGATGGGACGTCGAATATCATGCAGATATAGGTGGTCTCCACTGCCGGGACTTCCGTCTCAGGGAAGCGAATCGTGAAGTTCAGCACATCTGTAGCGGCAGAGATGAATAATTTAGACAAGTAGTTTTCTCTTTGTGTGTACACATACTCACAGACAGACAGACAGACAGATGGAATAATTGCAAAGGATACAACAAACTTACCTGGCGAGTTGATTGCATCACATTCCAGTTCTGTCCCTTTGCACGACACCCACGCATTCTTAGTTGCGCACGCGGCGGAGCTAAAGGGGTCACACACACCTGGAATATTTAATAATTACTTAAACCAAGGTCGTTCTCCACAAACCGAACAAACATTGTGTAAACGTGTGCACATAGGATATAAACGATTTTGTTGCTATTGTATCTGTACACCAAATCAGTGCTTTGAGTCCTTAATAAAAACGTCCTTAAAATGGCATCATGCCCGTCATTTACTTCTGACATGACACTGATGAATATAGGATGATCGTAATGACTATCAAGATGAATTAAAAAAACACTCTTGTTCAGGGTCAATGTGAAAATTAACCAGAATGCCGAATTGTCACATACTATAAAAGATTTAATCAAGATCCAGGTTAGAATAGGCCCTCATGCTTATTGAAAGAGGCATCATGCTTGAAAAAGGTTGCCTGATGGGATCGGTTGATCAGGCTCGTTTACTTGGTTGATGCATGTCATAGTATCCCAACTGCGTGGATCGATGCTCATAATTTCAATCACTGGATTGTCTGCTCCAGATTCGATTATTTACAGACCACCGACAAAAAGCTGGAATATTTCTGAGTGCGGGGTCAAACAACCAAAAGACACTCAAACAAATCTTATTTGTTACTCGGCTCATTATCAGGTCTAACACAGGATTCGCATCATGATTAGCTGATCCTTGCACAGCTAAGGAACGAGTTAACTGTAAAGACGACTGAGAACATAGTTCAATGCCAATAATAACAGTCAGGTAGTTAACTATTTTACCTCTCTGTGGGCAATATACCAGCTGTATCAACAGAGGTTTGAACATCATCAGGGCCATTTATTTGATACTCAACGCTCCACGGAGCCTGACTACAGTTCCTCTTAGTCGGCTCTTACAACAAGCATGAGTGAGTGGCACTTGGAATCACCAATGTTATATTTAGTGGGATGAAAATATATCTTCTTCATGTTGCATACCTGGGTGTGTTATCTGAGTCGTCCTGGAAGGGACATTGCCACTGCCTGCAATCCACTCACAGTCTGGGTCACCCAACTCTTGACCGTTGGTCATTCCATCGCCATCAGAGTCTAAACGGCACAAGGCTTGTGTCCACTTGATACATAGAATATAAAACATTATGAACATACATAAACTGAAAACTTGCACTTTGCGACAGATGGTCACGGGACTATGACTATTTTGTTCAATAGTTTTGAGAATATAAGACACTGGTCGCAAAATGTATGAGCATATTTTTTACAGCTATTTTTGTAGCATGGCGCGGAAACCCTTACTTTGTCGGTGCTCATGGGAGTTTACCTCTTTAGTCTATGGAGAAGATGTTTGACTTCGGGTAACATAAAGGAGCCTCCACTCGAATCCCATCACAGGATATGGAAATTTAGTATGGACACGAGACTATTATTATTTTGCTCAATTGTAATTTTTTATAATATACACCAATCGGTCGCTAGATTTAAAGAAATAACTCCTGAACTAATACTTTTATCAGTAGCCTACCGTATGTCCATGGGCAGCGAAGTCTTTGCCAAAGTCGTTTCGGCTTCCACCTCCAAGAGTGTTGATGTGGCCCAGACCATGCCAGTACAAGTTGGCTCTGCAAGGATGTGGAACCCGCTCTCCATTTGGAAGGCGCTTCCGGTATTCGCCATACCCTGACACACCGCACGTCCCAAGAAGCAACAGGAGAATTGTCAGCGTCCTGGCAATAACATGAGTACTGTATGGTAGTGGTCAAACAGCTACATAAATTGAGGACAAGCAATGTGTTTGTCAGTTAGTTAATAAAGTGAATGTTGTTATCACACTTTATTACAGATAATGACCAAATGTACCGTTGTATTTGGGCTCAAACCATACCTGGAGTACTGTTTATAAGCCTCTTTATGTATCGATCAATAGTAAATGTTAAACTAGGTCTGTGGCAATAAAAGGTCCAACATAGTGACTCACCCATGAACGAGTAATACCTGTGAGCCATTCATATACTTTACACCGCCATTATGCCATTATGTTAATGCGCCCAATTGAATCTGTTTGTTGTGTTTGTTCACAACTACAGTTTCCTAGACAGACGTTCATGCACTCAGATGATGTTTACTGAAGGTGCATGTTGTCTGTTGGAATACTAGACATACAAAGTCGAATAAATAGTTCATGTATGGTTTATATGAGAGGGCATTATTTTAAGTATTGACACCGTAAGGATTTCATCAACCTATGCTGGTAGAAGTATGTGACTTAATGGCGCAGGCGATCAGATTTGGTTGATTGCGTGTCAGTATCAACTATGTTACATATGTTAAATAATACCCGTAAAAACTGCAATCATACATAAAATATGAAAAGCTGTTGACATTGCAAGTAGATGTTACTCATGTGTACACATACAACCCTTTTGTGAGACCATTATTTTATAACATAAAGGCTTGCAAACTTTTGGAGAATGTTGTTTGTGTCTGTAAGGTCATGTCGGTGTTGTTCTCCGTTGTCAAGGTGGAGAGCGGGCCTCTCGATCGCGAAGCTGTCCGCATATGTTTGTGTGATTGTGTGAAAAGCACACCGAGATCATATCAGTTATATATGTGTCAGTTATATAAAGTGAGTCCATGAGCTGTCACTGATGCGGATTTTGAAAAGAAAACCCACACCTGTTAAAGGATGGCGTGTCAGTTAAAGGGAGACAGCACATTCTGATGCCCATTTCTTATACTGTGTCGGTTTATATGTTGTTTTTGACGAGTGCCACCAGTTGGGCAGGATACGCTCACCTTTCTGCGAACACCCTGTATCATCACTATTTGATAGTATTCATAAACACTTGCTCATGATATAGCCGGAATCGAACAATCCCCTCTGCCATTTGGCAGAGAGTTCTTATGAATATGATTTTGCCGCTTTTATCTGATGCCATCTCTTGAAACTGAGACATTGTGTCTTGATCGGATTTTGTATTGATCCCATCTGGGATTTCAACCCAGACCTGCAGATCCTGACACGGGTACGTGTGTGAGAACTTTATGTCATCTTGGTTTTTCAATATTATTATTGAGAATAAATATTTATATGTTCATGAATGTAAATACGAGCAGCATAACTCACGGTGTCTTAATGAATTCTGCGTGTCGCGTTTTTAGTTTCCCTTTTATGTTCTTGAAAGTTGACAATTGACTCCATGGCTTTTCATAAGATAATGTGTTGGTCATTTTCCACAAGTACTTTGCTCTCCCACGGAAGACAACAAAGCCTATTCGAGGGAAAACACCGCTACAATGGAGAATCCAGGCTAAGGTGAACTATTCACTGAATACTGCTTTCACACTATTCATAATGTTATTTGTAAAAGGAGCATACTTATAGAATAGCCACGTCACTTTGACACTTTCATTTCATAACTTATTAAAAACGAATCAATGCTTCTTAAGATTTTATTAATAAATTTACGGATTAGTAAAAACAAATACATATCACTCGCCAGTCAGGCCTGGGGTTACTTGCTACATTTGCCAGCCATTTGATATTCGTGGGTGGGATGGGATTTTGTCTAGAGATTAGTTATCTTTCAGTTACAGGTGCAAAACCAGATATTTTAAAAAATACAAATATGAGCCTGACTATTTTTGTAAGAAAGACACCTTGCAACAATATAATTTTGTGGCAGATAAGTCGGGTTTTTCAACACTGAAGCATAGTCATTATTTTCGGTGCCTTAAAGGGACACGAACCTATTCAAGAAATAATTTTAAAAATATCAAATTTCAGATTTTCTTTCACACCAATGATAGCATTCGCAGTAGAATAGTGAATGGGGGTTCTAGCTCACTACCACCTAGGCCAGATTCGCCCACCAATAGTGCTTCTACATAGGTATTTTTTTTATGCAAATTAAGCGATGCGATCCAATGATCATCACGGATCAAGATGTATATCGAGGAAACAATTTTGTTTTTAAACTCCAACCAGTTCTTTGGTTCTTTGGCACGGAATACATGGTACGCTTGCTGTCACCCCTGTCCTATTACCTTTTTTTCTCATCTTCACTAATACGCCTGGTCTCACGAGATTTTGATCGAATCTCCTGCTTCATTGCATTGTATTTGGTGAGTTATGACAACACTAAATGAAACTCCTCCACGAATATCTTGCAATCAGCCAGTGCTGTTGAAATATGATCCTCAATGCTATTTCACTTTGCTTCGGCAAGTACACAAATGTACACTGTCATGTTTTTAATGCTTTCTTTTGCAACTTACGAGAAATAAATTTAAGAGCTATTCCTGCAAGTCCAGATACTCCAGCTGCTACTTCAATGCCAAGTACGATAGGCGTGGCAATTATAGTTGATAATAAACCAACACCGGCTGCACCAAATCCCATGCTAGCTGTTACAAGTGCAGTGTCAACTTCGTCGAGAGCATTTACAGCTCTGCCATACTTTTTGTATGATCCAAGTCTAGAATCATGCTCCTTCTCTATTTGATGTTTTATTTCATTTATTTGATGTAATCGAAATCCATCAACAGTATCCATCTTTTCAGATGCTACATCGAATGCTGGATATAAACCCATAATATATAAAACACAATAGTGTTTAATTGGTCTTGCGTAAATGTCTTGAGAGTATACATCAGTCTTATTAAATGTATATTATATGGCATAAATATCTTAGAAAGCAAAATGCCCAACCCCCTATTAACTTGGATCCCCTCAAGGCTTGCAACGGAACTTCCTCCTAGATAAACAATAATACTGCAATGTTGACGTTCATGTTTCTTTGACCATTTAATTGATAGACCCGGTAATATCTCTATGGCATCTTCTGGCGACCCCCCAACAAGACTTCAGTAATAATTGTAGAAAGATCTGGTATACCATTCAAGTTATTTTTTACATCATTGATTTCAGTAACCATATTTAAGCTATTATCTTTGAATACTGGACGACTCAATAACATATAGCCTCGGTCATCTGGCAGGGGAACGACTGACACACTCTTACGTTTTGAGGGAATATAAGCCCCGAGTACGATCCCACTATTCATTATCTTAGTTAAATTATGTCTCCTACACGTCGTCACATATGGTAGGGCAATGACGATATTCAGTAGCCATTCGATTTTTGTTTCAAGCAAAGTCCATTTATTGATATCAGCATGATAAAGATTGTATAAAGTGTTTTTAAGGAGTCCACTCACGTCGACATCATTTAAATCCCCTAAATGAGTAGTGGGGGCACTAGGTGCTGTGAACATCTTTTTCCTTGTATACATTATCTTGTAGCTGTAAAGCATATAACTTGCCATTGGTACCGGGTTTTACTCAAATCCGTCTGTGTCTCCCAGATCGGAAAGTGCAATTGTATTACATTGTCTAAGGTTATGCGTTCCAGGACCTGAAGAATCAACCATTATTTATGATATGGTGTGTCACACTCATATATCCTATATGTACAGGTAGATAGATGTTTGACATCTAATACAGAAATTTTGAGATCTGTAATAATGCCCCGTCTTAACTTCTTATACAGCAATGATGAGAAAGATTATGTTCTACGACTATTGAATTTTTCAATTTTGACTGGAATAGCTCTTAGCAGAGTTGAAGGACTTTCAGTATAGTATCAGTTGTACTGATCTGATCAAGATGGATGCACAACTCTTGATAGGGAACTATACTGGGTAATTTACTCCAAGCACTGTTGTGAGGGGTGCTACTTCTCTTATAAATCAAAGTGTAAAGTCCCTGTGCTCAACTGCTTAACATCAGCACCCCATTCGACTCATATTGTGTGAGACTAGCTCCCAAAGGCTTTAAAATTTCATCTTTGAGTGAGCATACACTGTAATACCCATCAGATATAGTGCGACGTTCTTTTTCTAGTTATAACATATCATACTTAAGCTCTTCAGACTGTGCCGACTGAACGTGGAACAACGGTGGCTGCCATAGATAAAGATAATTTGGAAGACTACCACAACATGCGAAGAAGGGCTCTGATTGTCTTGAAGATATCTTGGCAACCTATGATAATTCCACATTAGTAGTTGGGGACAGGACTACAGATCCGGAAGTGGTTCTGCGCATGCACGCGAAGAGGGCATTGTGGGTAATTCGTGCGCACTCAAGATGGCGGCACTTCCGGTTCCGAGGGGGCATCTCTCCATCCAAGATGGCGGTGGTGGGAAGGCGGGAAGGAGGAGTAGGGAGGAGAGTGGAGGAGGAGGGAGGAAGAAGATGAGGAGGGAGGAAGAGGAGGACGAGGAGGAGGAGGGTGAAGAGAGTCTTTCCTCCTCTTCCTTCTCCGGGGAATGTAGCTGGGGTGTATCCTCCAGTCAGGGAGACTTGCCAGTATGTCTACATGGTTCGTCTAGGCATGGTTCACGATGGGAAAGATTCACAAGTGATACTGACCCCACTCGAGGAATCCCTTTTTATAGGAGAAGGACCGAATTGAACATCGCTGCACGCTGATTGACCCGATAAGCTGCGGGCTGATTGATCAGTTCCGCCAAACTGAGTCCAAACCGACCAGACCCTTGTGAATCAGGACCAGGAGCCTGTGAATCAGAGCAACGCGTATGGTGTAGTATGGCCGCCTTCTTAGGATGACGTTTCCGTTTCCCTATCCTGTTCATCTTTCCTCCAAACGGCCCTTTTCAGGGCAACCCATCTCTCCCGAAAGATCGCTTTTCAACCTTGCTTTCACTACCCTCCACCACCACCACCACCACCACCACCCATCAAACCAAAACAAAGAACCCGCCTCCCTCCCTCCCTCCTCCCGCCTTCCTCCTCCTTCCCGCCTTCCTGCCGCCGCCATCTTGGATGCACCGAGCCGCCGTCTAGGATGGGGAGATGCCCCCTCGGAACCGGACGTTCCGTCCTCTTGGAGGCGCACACCTCCCGGAACCGGAAGTGCCGCCATCTTGGAGGTACACACTCCTCCCCGGAACCGGAAGTGACGCCATATTGGATGCGCACGCATTACCCACAATGCCCTCTTCGCGCATGCCCAGAACCGCTTCCGGATCTGTAGTCCTGTCCTCAACTACAGTACTCACACTACAGGCACCATCCTGGGAGTACCATATTAGAGAATTACCAGGCCTTCACAAGGCAATGCAAACAATGCAGGGATCACTCATCAATAATATAGCCAAGCTAGATGAACTCGACAAGCATATATCTTATGAGAACAAAACTTACACGGGCAGACGATGAATTCAGTAGACTCTGTTTTGCGGAAAGATTGCATAACTTAGAAGACAAAAGATCAGTCCTCTTGGGAGCTGCTTCCACTGATGGAAAAGCACTTTGCTCATAAATCAGCCGAATTCGAGGAACTATTGATTAGGTCCTCAATGATGATACTACACTGGTCGAAAGAATTAAAACATTGTTCAGAGAACAAGGAATAACCATTACCAGTATTTTTAACCGCATTGGGATGCATTGTATCAACTCCCGCATTAAATGGCGGTGACACACCTCCTAGTGATAAGGATGGTGTAAAAGAGTGGATAGAAAGGCAATTAGAGGCATTAGGGGAAGCACAAGGAAAGCTCTCTGGGAAAGCCACGTCTGCACTTCCCGGTATAATAGGGAGTATTGTAAACTGACGGCCAAAAGAAACGTAACCAACGATATTTCTAGGATAAAATATGACCAACACAATTTGAAGCAGCAATAACAATTGTATTGTAGAAATTCATCATTCAGAACAGTAAAATGCCAATTTACTAATTCAACAACAAAGTCCTTGACCTCCAACAGGGACATTTCTTGACAAGGAGTCATTCGTCCAGTATTCGATCAACAACATTGGTTACAACTTTAAGGTGACGACGGCCCAGACCGTTCAATACGGGATATGACCTTCATGACCGGCAATGCATCTTCGAATGTGGCGTCGAACTGAGTAGACAAGCGTCCTCACATCAACTGCAGGTAACCGATTCCATTCCTCACGGAGGGCAACGATCAACGCTTGTCTCGTGAAGGGAGGATGTTGGCGTTTCCGAAGACGACGCCCAAGCTGGTCCTTGAGATGTTCTATGGGTGACAGATCTGGTGATCGAGCTGGCCACGGCAGGACAGTCACGTTGTTGGCGTTGAGGAAGACTCTAGTAATACGGGCTTTATGGGGTGTGGCGTTATGTTGTTGGAACACCGTCCGTTGTTGACACTGGATGAAAGGAAGAACCACTGGCCGTAAGATATCGTCAATGTAGCGTTTTGATTGCCTTTGATGCTTACAAGTTCCGTCTTCTCGTCCCCGCAAATGCCGCCCCAGACCATCACACTTCCGCCCCTGTAAGGTTCCGGCTCCTGGACGCAACAAGGAGCCGTACGTTCACCACGTCGTCGATAAACTCGCGTCCGCCCATCAGGTTTGAAGAGTTGGAACCTGCTCTCGTTACTAAACAGCACTCGCCGCCATTCCCTTTTTTGCCATCGCTGAGTTTGCCTGCACCACGTCAATCTGGCACGTCGATGTTGACGGGTCAAGGTCATGCCCTTGAAAGGGCGATAAGCCCGGAGACCATAATGTCATAGTCGTCTCGTCACTGTTTGTCTGCTGACCGGATGTCCTAAGCTGTTGCCAGCTGATGACGTCACAGTAAGAAATCTGTTCCTCAGATGAAGTACCCGTACAAAGCGGTCATCCTGCGGGGTCGTGACCTTTGGTCTGCCATTCCGTGGTCTGTCTGCGGTTCTGCCAGTCTGTCGGAGACGTGCGACCCGTCTGGTAATGGTCATCTTGGAGCAGTTCATGTTAATGGCAACCTCTCTCCGTGTCGCTCCCATCTGCAGCATACCTATGGCTCTCTCCCTCTGGACAGCGGTCAGTCTTGGCATGTTCGTTGGTGTTAATCATCGCAACCAATGATAGGGAACAGATCCGTGCGTAATTTATACCCGGAAATTGCACGATAATTTGGGAAAGAATGTTTTCAAAAATTGCTGAAAAACACCAATATCTCCCAAAATCCGCAAAGCACGTGCAAAGAACGACAGAGAACATGAAGGCTGTATTCGTGAGATGTGTTCTTTACTGTTTGTGAACAGGTTGGCATCTTTGTTTCAAAGTGGCAAATCAGTTAAATGTTGGTAACGTTTCTTTTGGCACTCAGTTTATCTTGGATCTTGAATGTATTAGCCAAGACTGCCACTTGTCTTAGTCCGCATAAGACTATTTATCCAAATCATGAGTAAACCAGCTGTGACTCCACCCTCTAGATCTATAAGCGCTGTTTTTCATCGACATGTTGTTTATTCTTGGCGGCAATATGTGGCTGTTGCACTTCTGTTTTTGGTTTAATTAAAGTAGATGACAGTGGCTTGACTATTCCTGTTTCGCCTGTATTTGGTTGCTTTATTAACACAGTGTTAAGATCTGAATTGAAACCTAATGTTTGCTTATCGGTAGCAGCCACAATTTTATTATAATAACCTGCTACTTGACCGAGCTGAAGTTGCATGTTAATCAGTGACATGTACAGACCTATTCCAAAAACATAGTCTACTTTACATTCGACATACTGTAGTACATCTTGGTATCACCTGATAGCCGAAGGTAGGTCAACGGGTGATGAAATAACATCCTCTACCTTCCCAGTAGACTGCTTTTGCGCATTAAAAGCTGTTCCCGCGGCCATGATGTTTGAGCGTGTTTGTGACTAGGCACCAAGGAGATACCATACATAAGTTCTGATTGAGTTAATTCTTTCAACGCTGGGGAGAGTTAAACCTTAAGCTCCTACAAGCTCATGAATAACTCAGTATTTGGTAAAACTAAGGAGAATCTAAGGAAGTGTGTTGGTCAGATCTAAAAGGAAAAAAGACCTAGGAAAGTTATAGCTAGTACAGCTGTTATCAGAAGTAAGATATTTGATAATGACTTAGTGGCACTACATATGCTGAAGAGTAATATTAAGTTCAACAGTCTGGTGTACGTTGGTATGAGTATTCTTGACTTGTCAAAACACTTAATGTATGACTTTTATTGCAACGAACATAAGAAGCAATACGGTGGTAGATACGAGGTGTTATATACCGATGCTGATTCTTTGTTGATGGAAATACAAACCAAGAATGCGTTTGAAGATATGGCAGAAAAAATAGATATCTATGATACGAGCGATTACCCCCAAAAATAATCCATTGCACAGCGCAGTAAATAAAAAGGTATTAGGTAAGATGAAGGATGAATGTGCTGGAACTCCTATTGCATAGTATGTTGGATTAAGACCTAAGATGTATTCTATAAAGAAATCTGATAATGAGGAGTTAAGAAAAGGTGGGCGTTTTTTTCACCACGTCTGATTGTGACATCACACTTTGTTAATAGTTTAGTTACTGATCCCATAAACCCGCGACCAGGATCGAAATAAATTAGGCCATTTTAATGGCCCGCGTTTATATATGTGGCTCAGTGCATTAGCTACTTCTGTTGGATCTTTTGAGGTTAAAGTTTCAGCCTCTTTGTACCGACTAGCTACATCTACAACGGTTATAGCGTATTTATATTTTTTGTGTCTTACCTTTTCATGAGGAAGAAACAAGAGGTCAGTCTGATGAACGTCATTCGTTGTAAAAATATCAAACCTTTTCCTCGGTATATATCTCGGTGCTGGTAAGTATATTTCCATATTACTTGTTTCTTTAACCAATCCTTGGCCACACCTCTAGATACCTTGGCTGCAGTGGCTATTTTTTGTATTACTCCTATACCTTTCCAATATCCTCGCGGGCTATAGTAAATTTTATCTATTATTAATTAATATTAATCTTTCTTTTAATACAATCCATGACGATAATTGGATCGCATCGCTTAATTTGCATAAAAAAATACATCTGTGGTAGCATTATTGGGGGGAGACTCTGACCTAGATGGTAGTGAGCTAGAACCCCCATTCCCTATTCTACTTTCGGATATTTCACTAAAACGCCTTTCGTTTGTTTGTTTGTGTTGTTTAAAGCCGCACTCGGCAATATTCCAGCTTCTGGCGGTCTGTAAAAAATCGCGTCTTGACCCGACAATCCAGTGATTGCCATCATGAATGTCGATCCACGCCGTTGGGATACGATGCCATCCATCGATGATGAACATCCAAAATTGATGAAATAGAATAAATTGACTAGGAGCTATAACAATGTACATATTATTACAGTTATACACATATACCAAGATCCCGTTATATTTATAATTAGTTGATGTAACGCAACTGTATAACTCATCATATTCAGTTTGTAATTAGATCAAATTCAAGTGAATAGAGCTTCACTCACCCGATCATGGCTGCGCCAGCCTAAGGAATTACACACTATCTGTACCCCCGGTATACACAGATATCGTTATATATATATACAGCATTGTGAAATGTGTCTCGTCAGGATCATGTGATGGGAACATGCACGATGCAGTTCAGAAAACACAACCCTCCTGAGTCTGTTTGACAAAGTGGTTATTAGAGCGTGGATTGTCCTTTTGTGAACGGGTGAAATAAACAAGTCATTGCTCAATACGACCTTGGGTACTCTCGGTACTTATGTCCCTTCAAAATGTGTTCGGCCATGGGAGCCGTGCCTGGGTTAGATCGCTGACTTTGTGTGCTGGCGATTAGGTGCCTCACTCTGGTAAGTGTAGGTTCGAATCCCGGACGGGACTCAACCCAAAAAGTACTAGAATCTGTACTTTACTAAGAAAGTGTTATCCCATATATAACATTTGTTAACTTCTAGGTAGTCCAAAGCCTTTGTTATAAAAGTATATCATACATCAATCACTGGTTCAGGACAATATTATCAAGTTTTTCAAAAAAAGAGAGAATTTCAGGGCTTTTGTTTCCAAGACAGGAGTTGGGAAAGTTAATTGCATCCCAATTTCTGATGGATTGGCAACAGTGGAACCGAGATCAGTTTCCTATCTGGATCTATGAAATGATGGCAACGTCTGCTTAATATTATAATTTAGTCGACAGTGTTCTGCTATAGTAAACAGATTACTGTCATATTCCAAACTGGTGATGTCTATTTAGACTAATGCTTAGTCTCTAAAATATATAATCTTCATAAAAACAAATAACTCCATTGAAATTGAAGAGGAGCCCCAGTGAAATGGGAGTTTAAGTGATGAACCTGTGGAAAATCTAGACTTGCTTCATATAGAAAGGACTGAGCAAAAGGGAAAATGATATGGTTCAGGGAATTTGAGACAGACTAGTGTCTATTCTATGGATATCTAAGCTGCCACTCAAACCGATCCAAACGGGGCCCGAAAGCTTATTGTATGTTATAAAGTCATATGGAAGTGGACCAGAATTATTCATTGTATTGCGTACGATTACATTATATTAACTTTTAAATCGGGGAAAATGATTTAAAAGGAGAAACACACACACACACACACACACACACACACACACACACACACACGACACACGACACACACACACACGACACACACACGACACACACACAAAATGATTTTGTTTCTAAAATGTTACCTCGAGAGTCAGTAGGAAACTAGAAATTATTGCCTTTGTTCTGTAAAATTCTTTGTTGCCATTAAATATGTGGAATAAGGTTTTTACTTTTGTAAAATGATCTCTCTTATCTGTCTGTACCTTCAAGTTACTGCCCTCACCCCCTGCAATTTTCCGTCCAATATTGCCAAGCAGGTCACCCACAAGGAGCCATATGGTTGCTGATGAGCGAGGGGAAAGGTCGCCTGCATTCCACCAGTCCAGTTATATACTGTGCCAAGCACAATATGTTGTGAATGAGTGGCCCTGCTGTCGCCAAACATTTTGTAACAATTTAGCAAACTTTGATATGTAAACAGCAAATATAATTCAGTTTTATGTCATCTTGATATATCAGTTGAATCCTACTTGATCTGTGAAGATCCGGTTTAGAGTAAATCTTCAGCACCCCATGCTTGCCTCTAGAGGCGACTATGCTTGTCGTAAGAGGCGACTAACGGTACCGGCTTGTCAGGTTCGCTGACTTGGTTGATGCATGTTATCCTATCCTAATTGCATGGATCGATGCTCATGATATCAATCACTGGATTGTCTGGTCGAGACTCGATTATTTACAGATGACCGTCATATGTAGTTGGAATATTGCTGCGTGCAGCGTTAAACAAAAACAAAAACAAAAACCGGATCCTACTTATTTTGTTGATACCATAAACATCAATCAAAGTTTCGTTTGAGCTGGCATAAATATCATAAAATAAGTAGCAATTCTATACTCATAATTCCCTCGTTAAATGTTCTTCATGAATAATGTAAATCATGAAACTGACGCAATAATGAGTCACCGCATTAATGCGAGTATAGGTAGATCCCTGGCTTAAATTGCGTCATGAAATTTATGAGAGTAGCCTTGCAAAAACACTGTACAATTACAGTTCTTTCATGTAGTATTGGCTGATCGCAAATGATGTTAGTCGGCGAACGTCTTACTTCGACTGTTCATCCAATTTCCATTAATGTATGTTAAATAGTTAATATTCTCATGGGATTCTTCACTGAATGTAAAGTGAATAGGACTACTTCAGTTGCGGATAAGTAATATTTTTTATCATGTTTTCATATTAAACATGGAGAGAGGTATGGAGATTATGGAGATTTTTTTACATTGGCATTGTTAACATAATGCTTACAGATATTATAATTTGTTTGTTGTTTAATGCCGTACTCAGCAACTTAAGGGTCTTACAACATACACAAATTTAAGTTCAGTTGTATTATTGAATTTGTATTATTTTGCAATTGACATGACATGACATGACAAAGTTTGAACGCGCGACAATTGGAACCTGCCTTTGCTGCTTACATCTATATTTTAATTTTGATATATAATTTGCAGAAATTTTGTGCATCACATTCCAGATTTCTTCCCACGCCCCGATGGTGGTTTCATGTATACACACTAAAGGCAGGAGAGGTTTATTGTGTTGGAGGGGCGAGTGCACTAGGACACATTGTAAAGGAACCTTGAGAACTGTCGGCGACACCCCGACGCAACAGGGAGCAAACCATGCATGTCAGTTTGTGAGCAGTGTTTTCTATTCAACACGTTTGCTGTTAGTGTACGTGTATGGGTTACGGTCTTTACCCCGCGAAGTGCATCAAATCACTTGAGCACTGTAATTAAGAACATATTTTTTTTTTGCAAAATATCTGTCTGCGCCAAGTTGGCGATAAACAGAATTCATTATCATATATATAGGATTACTGGCTCGATTACTGTTTTGAATAATTTGCAAATAAGAGCTGTTGGTATATCTTGTATCATGGGCAATTTGGCGGGGTATAGGTTTATATACATTTTATATATACCCTCAGTTACGAAAGTTGATTTTATCCATTTAAATATTCACAGTGCTGCCAATACAAATCATAACAGACCCGTGAAGATTCCGGGGTAGAATAGGTCTTCAGCAACCCATGCTTGCCGTAAAAGGTGACTTTGCTTTCGTAAAAGGCGACTAACGGGATCGGGGGGTCAGGCTCACTCACTTGGTTGATGCATGTCATCGATCCCAATTGCGTGGATCGATGTTCATGATATTAATCACTGGATTGTCTGGTCCAGACTCGATTATTTACAGTCCGCCGTCATATAGCTGGAATATTGCTGAGTGCGGCGTTAAACAACAAAGCAACCAACCAACCAGCAGCTGGGGTATCATTACCATGGCCAGCAGCACAAAGTCATGTGTGGGTCAGCGGCTTGTAATTAACGCTTGAAAATGGCCGGTTGGCCACTGAAGCTTAACATTGTGGATGAGGTGCGGGATACTGCAGGCTGTAATGTGTAATGTGCTGTATATGTAACGTAACACGATACATGGCAGTCTGACCGTGATTTACCTTTGGGTTGAACATAGTAAACTTGTGTTAGTCGGGACTTGACGCTCGGACAGCGGCTAGGCAGGTTGGCCCTCTTCCGGCGAATGGCTGCATGGATATAATGTGGCAGCATACTATCAGAGAATAAACTTAGTGGACCCACAGACGGACTTGTGTTGTCAAAATCAGAAGTATCCGGTAGAGCACCAACGTCTACCTTGGATACTTGGTTAAGAATGGAGACTGAAGCCTTAGAGCTTTTTTCAGGCGAGGTTTAGCACTATTTTTAAGTTTACTATTTGCTTCAAATGTAATTCCTAAGTAATTATATCTATCCGTAACCAGTATTTTGTATCACCAACATTCGTTTTGTCACCATTTACCTTTAGGTTATTTGTTGCTCAAAATACAAAAGACCATTGTTTTTTTAATCAGCAACTAGTACTAAGTCATCGGCAAACAACAAATGACAAATGTTTAAACAATTAAGTGTTATATTATAACTATCAGATTTGATATAAAGTGAAAGATCATTGAGGAATATATTAAATAATGTGGGAGTCAACGTGCATCCTTGTCTTACCCCGATGTTGGCGTTAAAAGATTGTGAAATATCCTTGTCAGTTTTCACTTAATTAGAGATATCATCATATAGTGATCATATTTTTTAAATACATTTCCTCAGATTTTATTTGATAACATCTTTGTTAGGAGTAGTGATCTGTCAACTGAATCAAAGGCCTTTTGAAAGTCTACAAAGCAACTGTATATTCTTTTCCTTTTACTTTTTATAGAATATAGTGATGTTAGAGAACAAATACATTATTTGATGTTCGGTATTCCCTTCTATATCCAGACCGACAGTGGTCTTTTACAGTTTTTTTCTAGTGTTCAATTATTGTGATTTATGAAAGTTTCCAGAATTGGTTCCTGTTTTGAAAATAATTTCAGTTGTTCCAGCGGAGTTTGTTTAATAATACATATTGTTTTTCCTGAGTAACTTTTGGATTTTTGGGGGCAAACAAGGACTCTATTATTATTTCATTTTGTGTTTTCTCATTAAACTCATGATATTGTCTTTCCGTATTACGCTTTGCCTCTTAACATTCAACATCATACCATTGTTATTTTCGGTACATTTGATTTATTTTTGCATGGCTTTGTTGATTTTTTTGCGGACGGTTTGCAAAATATCAGAGAAGGCACCAACAAGTGCTTCACATTCAGAACTGTCTTGTGGGCTGGAGGTTAACATATAATTGTTTATGACAGCTTGAATATTTAGGCCTGAAGTAGCATGTTCAACACATATGTAACTGTTGGAATGTCAGCGTTTTCTACCCCTGTATTTAAGTGAAGGTTACACTTGTGGCCGTTTAAAAACATACATTTAAAGCACCTAATGCAGAAAAGAACATATAAATATTATGATTGGACTGTTAATAGACATTTTAACTTTTCATATGTGTCATTAACATTGTGAATATATCCTATAACTGCCATTCTTTATTCTCCTCACTTCGTCTCAAAAAAGCAAACCCAACCCATTGAGCC